GAAGCTTGTGATAAGTGGAATTTGTCGATCAGTGTAGCCAAGAGCTTTTGGGGCATGGATAAGGTAGGATATCTGGGACACCGTGTGTCGATCGGAGGTTTGGAGGCGAACCAGAAAGACCTGAAATCTTTGACCGATCTGCCGTTCCCCGGATCACTGCGATCTATTCAGTCGTTCCTGGGCAGTCTGAATTACTACAGCCGATTCATCGAAGATTACGCTATCTATGCATCGGTGCTCTACGAATTACGCGAGGTGGAGTTTGCAGAACTGGAGAAACGATAGGATCTGAGGGAGATCATGGACCGGAACGACCCGATTCCTCGAGATCACGGCCCACCGGAACTGAAGTTGACGGGACCAGTGGACGAGAGGTGGATCAGGGCACATAGGGCCTTCATCACCCTGACCAAGACCGCGACTACCCGAGTCCTCCGCCATTTCGACGAGACGAGAACGCCGGTGGTGATCGTGTATGCCAGCGATTGGGCGATATCCGCTTCGTTGACGCAAGAACACGACGGGATCTACCACCCGGTCGCGTTCGCCAGTCGCACCTTGAAGACGAACGAGTTGAACTACAATGTGACGGAGAAAGAGGTGTTGGCGTTGCTGAGGATCTTAGATCTCTACTACAATTTGCTAGTAGGACGCGAGATCCGGGTCCTGACGAGGCATTCCACGTTGGTCTGGCTGTTCCAGTCGACGGGATTACAGGGTCGCCTGGGTCAATAGTCTGCCCTCCTGGTCCCATGGACACTCGAGATCACGAAGTGCACGAAGGACGAGGACGAGATACTGGGGGCGATCGTTGCTAGCATCACGCCGAGGGCGAAGATCGATGACGACCTGACCGAAATCGCTCCCCGGAAAGAACTTAAACGCCGGATCCAAGCGCCGATACCCACTGTAAATCGGGACGAGGAACTATGGGTAATCAGCATCGACGGATCCGCTCGAGTTAAGCGTGGTGGGGCGCGTTCAGCGCGATCGCGTGGAGTCTGTCTGGATGGGAGGTGGTCAAGGCCAGATCGGGGTATCTCGAGAGCCTCACCGTGCTTCGCTGAGATGCTGCGCTTCTACGCAACGCTCCACTGGGCCCGAATGTCCGTGGTCGCACGAATTTCAAGCGTCGACTGGATGCTGCGCAGTCCTTTGAGGATGTTCTTATGTGCAGCGAACCAGTTCCAGCTGACGCTTTAGCTTTGACAGAGGACTAGCCGCAGCTCAAGCGTCCCTCAAGTCAGCTGAAGCGTCTCGCACCGTCATGGAGAACAAGCTCTTCATGGAACAGTGTGCTCGCGCTAATGCAGAGACGTGGGCTCAGCAGTTCTCGGCTGACCGTGACGCCGCGCACAAGGCGATCAAGTTGGTCAAGTCGCGCGAGGCCTCATTGAACGTCCAGATCAGCGAGATGAACGCTGTGATCAAGAGCCATCAAAAGATGTACGACCGGCTCGAGAACCGGTTCCAGTTGGCGCTCCGCAGCAACGAAATCCTGACCAAGGAGGTGAACCATGGTAGCTCTGAGTATTTGGTCGGGATTCAAGTCCCACGAGAATCTCCACAAGCTTCTGTCTCACACCGATCCGAAGGAGACTACTCTGACGTACAAGCTTTGCGAGCGCAACTGAGATCTCGTCCGCCGGGTCAAGCGTCTCGAGAATGCTAACTCGGCTCTCAGTTTGCGACTTCAACTGGAGGATATGGATCCTGAAGCCTTAGTCCTCATGGGTGAAGGTGAGTTCTCGTCTCCCATGTGTTCATCTGTATCTTGACTGACTTATCGTTGATTGTGTCTTGACCGTAGGCTTCGAACTCGACAAAATTGACTGGGAGACTTTGGCTCCTGATTCTCAAACTCACCGTGCTCTGAAGGCTGTTTACAAGATCGGTTTGGAGGATGGTCGCGATCATGACACGTTCGCCGACGACATCGCTCGCGCGAAGGTTCGGTTCGTGGAGATACGCGCTGAGAAGCATCGTAAGGATGAAGAAGCCGCTGTTGCTGCAGGTTTACCAGCTCCTCCCCCGCTCACGGTCACTGTTCGCCAGCCGTCCACTCCGGCTACTCAAGATTCAAGTGTTCCCACACCCCCAAGTCCGAATTCAAACGCTTCGCAGTCGTCGGTGGCAGCTTCTACGCCGTCGCCGACTCGTTCACTTTTGATCACGCGGACTGGACCTCCAGTTGTCACCGATGCAGGATCAAGCACAAGTTCGGCGTCATCTTTAGCTACACCTGCAGGATCGTTGCAGTCGTCGACTGTCCACTCGCCGTCTGCCTCCACACACAAACCCGCTCCACCAGTTTCCGGTGGGAAGAAAGGCAAGGGCAAGGCTAAGCGACAGTGCACTGGCTCCGATGACGAGGATGTGGATTTCGGTGGTGGTGACTCTGGTGAGGACGCTCCTGAAGAGGGCCGTGAGTGTTCGGCAACTCCCTCTTCTGCGACGACCTCCTTGTCACAGCCGAAAAAGCAGAAGGCCTCTCCTCCTGCCACTCCTTCGACTCCGACGGAGAGATCTCAGCCGTCATCCAAGGCGTCGTCGAGCAAGCCGAGTGTTCCCGCACCTGCCCACCACAAGGCTGGCTCTGCTCCTAAGAAGGTGGATATGACGGTGTCAGACGCTGAGTCGATGTCGAGTCCTCGCCTCACCCCGAAGCTCAAGGCTGCCATGAGTTCCGAGTTTCGGTCTTCTTTTAGCCTGGCTGGAGGTTCTCGTTCCGACATCAAGTCCCTCACCTCCAAGTCTCCGCCTGGCCAGTCGGTCAAATCTTCATCCAAGTCTAAGAAATCTCGCTCCACGAAGGTTACCGCCAAGACTAAATCCGGCCGCTCAACGTCGGACGAATCTGTCATTTCAGTTTCATCTGAATCCGAGTCTGAGTCAAGTTCGGATCAAGATTCTTCGGCGTCAGAGGGTTCTGAAGCTCACGAAGATGAAGAGAGCGAGCTGTCCAAGCTTCGTCCGGAGAGCCAGTGTCTGGAAGATTCTCTCGACGACATACC